AGTGATCTATGCATCTAAGGCTGTTGGGTGGTGGTGGTGCAGGCCTTTAATTCCAATACTTGGGAAGCAGAGGCAGGAGGATCTCAGAGAGTTTGAGGTCAACCTGGTCAACAGAGCAAGTTCCAGGATAGCCACGGCTATACGGAGAAACCCTCTCTTAAACAAACAAAGGCCAAAGGTCATCAGTAAAGGGATCCAGATCCACTCACACCTGAGTCCCCAAGTGACCACTTCTAACGTGCTCATTGGTTCATGAATCCCCAGCTCATAAGCAACTGTCTTACTATGCATGTTGCTTGGATCAGAGAGCCGGCCATTGCCGTGACCTGGTCCATCTCAGGAGGGCTATAAGTCTAGCAATCCCTTCCTCAGGCAGAGGTAACCAGCTTCTCCAAAGCCAGGACTCTATTTACTATTGTGAGGATTACACTGATCAGCTCTCCTTGGCCTCTGTAGATGGAATGTCCACAGTCCTTCATCTGCCCTCTGTGAAAGGGGTTGAATAGCAAGCTTCCCTGGTTTCCTGGGGCGCCTACACCCAAAACACACACCCAGTGCTGCATTCCAGAGTACACTGAAGAATCCATCTTTCTCTGATTCCATCACCAAGGTGGCGGCTCTGAGACTCTGGAGGCCAGAAAACTGTGGAATCCCGTAACCCCCCATTGTCAGAGGCCAGAGTGAGGTGACACAAACAAGACCTGGGGGCCAAATCTCAACTGTGTCACTTACTGAGGGAGACTTTCTCAGTCTCTGCTTGCTTGCCTGTGATGTGGACAATGGTCCCTATTTCAGGGGAGTCCTGCAAAGCCCCTTAGAGCACAGGTTAGATGGATACCTCTGAGTATAAGACCCTTCTCCCTCTTCCTTCTCCTCCCCTCCCCACCCTCCCCAAACCTCCCCTTCCCTCCTCTCTTCTCTCCTCTCATCCTCTCCCCTCTCCTCTTCATTCCTCCCTTCTTCTGAAGCTAAGCTAGAATTGAATCCCTCCTTTCTTTACCACATGGCCTAGAGCAAGCGATTTAGCTCTCTCTGCTATAAACAGTAATTAAATTAGAAACTATCTTAAAACTCAAATCAGAACCCCCCTGAGAGTGTGCTGCGTGAAGGGACAGCCCTACTGTCCCACAGCAGTGCCACTGGGAGGCTGGTCACAAAGAAGGTGAGGGGAAGACACAGGTTGTAACACCGCCAAAGCACAGCCCGTGGGCAGTGGCTTCTGTTCAACACAGTGGATTGTCTAGTGCTACTTGAGTGTGAGGTTCCCCATGCACCAAAAATGTCAGCCTGAGAGACACATGTTCATTGCTCTGGTTTGATTATTATAGAATGCATGCGATCAGTCACTGCAATGTATTCATAAAGAAACACTTATATCTTGATTTTAAAAAACTGAGGGTCAGGGATGTGCCTAAGAGCACTTGCCTGGTATGGGTGAAGTCCTGGATTCCTCTTCTAGTGCCTGGAAAACTGAGCAGTCAGTTTTTTGTCAACTTTGTTCAAGCCATAGTTATCTGGAAAGAGGGAATCAATTAAGGAAATGCGTCCAAGAGACTGGCATGTAGGTATGCCATTTTGTTAAGGCATTTTGTTAATTAATTAACAAGAGCGTTTTGTTAATTAATAGTTGGTGTGGAAGGGACAGCCCACTGTGATTGGTGTCCTCCCTGGGCAAATGGTCCTGGGTTGTATAATAAGAAAGCAAACTGAGCAAGCCAGGAGGAGCAAGCCAGTCGGCAGCTTTCCTCCAGGGTCCCTGTTTCAGTTCTTGCCTCCAAGTTCCTACCTTGAGTTCCTGCCTTGGAACTGTGTTCCTCTATGGACTGTGCTCCAGGATATGTAAGCCAAATAAACCCTTCCCTCCCCAGGCTGCTTTTGGTCATGATCTTTCTCACAGCAACAGAAAGCAAACAAGACAGATTGGTTGTTCCGCTGATGCATGCAGAAGTGAGGACAGTGGACCTGGGAGTGTCTATGTGTTTATGTGTGTCCTTACACATGGACATGGGCATCTCCCATGAAAGCCAGGCATCCGAAAAGAGAAGGGATCGGATGCCAAGAGACAGCCTAAAGGGGAAACCTGGATATTGTGTTACCTTTTATTAATATCGAATCCATGCACAATAATTACAAGACAGAAGGAGGACTCTGGGTTGTGTCACCAGCTGCTCTAATGATCCCACTAGGGAACAAGCTCTATGCTTCAGAGTCATAGCCTCATTCCCAAATGGCCAAGGGGAACTCTAAGCCATAGCTCTTCCAGCTCCCACACCATTCCAGAAAGAACAAGCATGATCTTCACCTTCAGTTCTTACCTAGTCACGTACCCAGAGAAGACCACGCCCATAGGGCCAAACCACCCCAATACAATTTGCTGTCTGATCGAATACTCATAACATTTCCCCCTGTTAGTCTAAAATAAAAAGGAAGATTCTAATCCTTATATAAAACTATGTACAATAAGAACTATAAACCAGGTGGTGGTGGCACACACCTTTAATCCCAGCACTAGGGAGGCAGAAGCAAGCAGATCTCTGTGAGTTCATGGCCAGCCTGGTCTACTGAGTGAGTTCCAGGACAGGTTCTAAAGTTATCTACAGAGAAACCCTGTCTTGAAAAACCAAAAAAAAAAAAAAACAACCAACAAAAAAGAACCATATCAAGTAAGAACTATATCTTAGATGTCCAGACTGTAGGTAAAAGGCAATCTTTATAGAGATTGCTTTAATAGTGGCCCTTTCTTAAAGACTCTAAGTTTGTACCTTATATGTCCTAAGCTAAGATTCATGAGGATTATAACTGTAACTATGTAGTCGTCAACCCCATCAAAGACCTGAGGAAAAATATAATACCCATGTAAGCAGGAAGTTCAGACAAGCGATTTCCAAAATTGCAAGAAGATGACAGAACATCTGGCTGCCTGGACAGTCACCCAAGATTTTTCTGTGATGTTGGGGCTTCCAACCTTGGCTTATAGACCTAGAATATCTGACAGACCATTTTCAGAAGCAGGAAACTTTGAAGGACTGTCCTATTCTGCCTCAGCAATGTTTGGCAGTTACTTGTCCTTGTGTCCTGTTTGTCTGGATTGGACATAATGCTTACTGTCAACAATCAAGGCAAGAGCAGGTTTTTTTGCCCAATAGATCAATTTTGCCAAGAAGAAAACAAAGTCCACATAAAGAGTCTTAAGTGCACATAATCCTCTCAGGAGTAGATCAGTGCTGCCAGGAGCAGTCGTATCTCACCTCAAAAGAATTCTAAGTTATTAAAACATGTAAATGCCATATTCTGTGGGTCTTGGAGTGTTTGAAGATGACGTATCTTTGTGGTATATATCTCTGCACACTTAGAAAACCTAATGAACATGATTATAAGTTTGACAAACATGGATGGCCATTAACCTGCAATTCTTACTAACCAAATAGCTTAAAGACTAAAGCTTCACATTATAAAAATATACAATCTATAAATAAATCTACAGTATAAGGAAAATGACCTTAAAACTGTGACAATATATAAAAATTTCTTAACCAGAGGTAGAAATGTATAGTGCAATTTGACAAGAATAACCTTAATTTGGATCAATATACAAAATATCCTAAACAAAAGTAGAAACATATATACAGTATGACAAAATAATTTTAAATTTGTATCAATATACAAGAATCCATACCAATGCAAATTATCTAAAGCTGATAGCTGCTTTCTTAGTTTGCAAGTAGATAAAATAATCTATCTTATTATCCTATCATATCTATCCCCTTTATTTTTATTCCAAATGAGATCCCTGAGTCTAACCTCTATTGTTCCACCCCAACCCTACAACAATTTATTACTAACTCCCAACAGATGAACATTATCCATAATCCTGAGAAAAACCAAAATCATTCACACCACCTATTTGGAAAGGGGGTGTCATGTTCTTAGAATTACTTCCTGCTGTCTAGCTGATGACAGCATCTCTCTAGGACCCTATAAAAACTAAAACAATTGTTAAGTCTTAGGAGGACTAGCTGCACCGTTAGCAACCAGTCTCTGAGTAACAGCTAAAGCTTATTTAAAGTCTTGGCTAGTGTGGTGCATGAGGCTGGACCATCTCAACTAACCACCTTGGAACTGTCCTGAGCAGTTTGTAGCCCAAAGTCAGTCTTGGAGTGGTGTTTATTGGCTTAATGGCATCATTATGATCCAGGTACAATCGTTGTTGTGGGGTCCCATCATCTTTTTGGAGACATCAGAGATGGCTGTTAGGGGAATTTATTGTTCACTGTGGAAAACCTAAAACGTAAACTTAATATCGAAACAGAAAGTTTAAGTTTTAAGATAGTATTATATCTAAAGAAAGGTTCTAAAGAGTCAAAATCAATATGAAGGGAAATTAATTTATAGCAATAGTCCGTAGCTAGCTCAGTTGATAGAATATGCAACTCTTATTCTCAGAGTCATGGGTTCGAGCCCCACATTGGAAGCCAGGTAATGCAGGAAACCTGGGGACTGTGCTACCTTTTATTAATATCAAATCTGCGCACAATGATTACAAAACAGAAGGAGGACTCTGGATCACATCCCCAGCTGCTCCGCCCATCCTGCTAGGGACCAGCTCTCCACTGCTGCATCATAATCCCAGTCCCAAAGGACCAAGGGGCACTCGAAGCCACAGCTCTGCCAGCTCCTACATCGTTCCAAAGAAAGCGAGTGCGACTCTCAACTTCAGTCCTTATCTGGTCACAGGCCCAAAAAAGACCACATGCATTGGGCCAAGCCACCCCAGGACAATTTACTGTTACATCGAATTCCCATAACAGCCTGCTGGCCTTCATAGAGGAGAAAGCAGGGCTAGATCATAGCAGGACAGAGACTGAGAGTCATTGTGCTTTCTCTGCACCCTCTGAAGCTCTCATGGCCATTCAGGTCTCTTTGCATAAATCTGAATAAAAACTTAAATCTTAGAAGCAAAACAGTCAGGAATAGAAACAAGAAAACAGCTTTTCATCAAGATGGCGCCGAAAGCGAAGAAGGAAGCTCCTGCCCCTCCCAAAGCTGAAGCTAAAGCGAAGGCCTTGAAAGCCAAGAAGGCAGTGCTGAAAGGCGTCCACAGCCACAAAAAGAAGAAGATCCACACATCACCCACCTTTCGGTGGCCCAAGACCCTGCGGCTACGAAGGCAGCCTAAATACCCCCGGAAGAGCGCGCCCAGGAGGAACAAGCTTGGCCACTATGCCATCATCAAATTCCCCCTGACCACCGAGTCAGCCATGAAGAAGATAGAAGACAACAACACACTTGTGTTCATTGTGGACGTCAAGGTCAACAAGCACCAGATCAAACAGGCTGTGAAGAAACTCTATGATATCGATGTGGCCAAAGTCAACACCCTCATAAGGCCCGACGGAGAGAAGGCGTATGTTCGGTTGGCTCCTAATTATGATGCTCTGGATGTTGCCAACAAGATTGGAATCATCTAAACTGAGCCCAGCCGGCTAATTCTAAATATACACTTTTTCACCATAAAAAAAAAAGAAAAAGAAACAAGAAGACAAGCTTCATGTGGCTGACACCTGAAATCCCAGCACTCAGAAAGCTGAGGCAGGAGGATTGCCACAAGTATGGGGCCATCCTGGGTGACCTTGTGAGTTCTAGACCAGCAACCTAGGTTTACTTATATCTCATTAGGTCTAACAAGTTCTGAAAATGTGGAGTGGGAAAATCACACACCTATCTATGCCTGTATCCAGCATAAGGGCAATGAGGTTAGGGGTGAGGCTTGAGGGTGGCAGAACAAACCAGCTTTGAGTCTTCAGAGTCTGTGTAACGAAATATATTTAGTGGTGCTTGGCTCTGTGTTGAGTCCTGGAACTGAGGAGAAGGGGTTGAAACTACTTCTATTAAAAGTAGACTCGGATGTTTGGGGGTCCTTGAAACAGCCTCTGCTCACACAGACTCAAATCTCAAGCAGGGATTTGTTTTCCTGGGGAGTGGGGGGGGGAGAAACTTCTTCATTAAGAATTCTAGTCAAATAGGAAGTTCATTCCATTAAACAATTTAAGAACAGGGACAATATTATAGAAAAGTTATTGTGATCGGTAGAGCCTTCCGATTAAAGTCCAAACCATGGCCCTGAAGTTGGTTGAAGCTTGACTGTGATGCCTAATAAATGTTTGGAATGGTTGCTCAGAAAAGATAAACAGCTTGTAACTGCCGGGGACCAAAATCTCACGTCATTTCAACCAAAGCTGAAAATGGAATGTGACGGCGGGAAGGGGGTGAGGAGGGCGCTAAAGGTCTTCCTCTTGTTCTTCTCACGTGTGGTTGTGTGTGCACCTGCATCACACACGTGTGGAGTATGCATGTGTGTGTTCTGACACCCTCACCATACAAGCACCTTTGAAGGGCAGAAGTCAAACCTTGGGCATCTTCTTCCATTACTCTCTCTGTTTTGAGACAGAGTTCTCCCTGAACCTGGAGCTTGCCAATCGGTAGACTGGCTGGCCAGCGAGCCCCAGAGAGCCTCCTGTCTCCACCTCTCCAGCACTTGCATTACAAGGACATACGTGTGTGTGTGTGTGTGTGTGTGTGTGTGTGTGTGTGTGTGTGCATGCGTGTGTGCATGCGTGTGTGCATGCGTGAAGGCCAACCCTTTGCTCTTCACCATAGTTTTTGAGGCAGATTCTCTCACCGAACCTGGAGTTCCCCGTTTCAGCTGGACCAGTTGGCCTTCCACTCTGAAATGACAGATGTGTGCCTTTGTGTCCGGCTCTCACGGCTCTTGAGGATCCGAATTCAGGTCTTCATGGATGTGTGACAAGCATTTTTTTTTTTTTTTGTGGTTTTTCGAGACAGGGTTTCTCTGTGGTTTTGGAGCCTGTCCTGGAACTAGCTCTTGTAGACAAGCATTTTAACCACTAAGCCATCTCTGCAGCCTCAATTTTTATCATAGCTGGGAGAGTATCATTATTTCTCTACTCTTGGTATTAATCGACAGATAGGGATTCTCACGTTTATCAGTGATCTAAAGACAGCCATGGCACCGTGGCACACATGGGTTGATGTGCAGAAACCAACTGTGTGTTCTGCCAGACCTGCCAGAAAATCTCACAGGTGCTGATAGATGTCTCGTGTATGAAGCTCTGACAGGCCGTGTCGTCAGCCTGTTCTATGGAAATTCACACCTGATATAAAATCTGCACATCACAAACCACCCGGAAATTCTAGAAAGTACTCCGAAAACTCATTCCAAGAGTTGCAGATATTGGAGAAGTGATCGACTCTATGATAACACTCCTTATCAATCTTAGGGGACAAAGTCAAGGTCACATCAGAGGAGAATTCACACCTTCAGAAGGTCACTAAGCCACAAGGGTACAAACAAATGCATTCATTCAAATTCACTTTTGGGGTAGCTATAGCTAAGCTGGGCTTTAGTGGCACAGGTTCATAGTCCCAGTTTTCATGTGGCTGAAGCAGGAGGATTACAAGTTCAAGATCAACCAGTCTGGGCAACGTACCAGGACATTCCTACCTCAAAATAAAAAAAAAAATAAAAGTTGATCAGGACTGTAGCTTTGTAGGAGAGTACTTGCCTCACACATTGAATCCCCAGAAGCAGAGATCAAAATCAGATAAAGAATAATAGCCAGAAACATAGAGAGAGGAAAATAATGGCACAAAAAATCAAGAAAAACTAACTGCAAAGAAGAAAAATTTTGATATCAAAAAGCTATTGAAGGAGAACCCAAGAGCTGGCTCTTTCCCTTGTTGGTCTGTGTTGATAGGAGGACCACTGTTGGACCTATAGAGTCGTGTGTGAGACTCCCTGACGTTGTGCCCTGGATTTGAGAAGCTAGTATTCCTTCCTCTTTTTATTTTTAATTTAGTAGATTAAGAAAAAAATCCAAGTTGTTAAGTCCTATCTGTTCTGGACTCCCACAGATCAAAGGCTTCTCCTCACAGAAACCAGGGCCCAATGAGAGATTTTGTGTAGGCTTCAAATTTAAGGCCCGTACCTTATGGAGCAGAGACTAGGCTTAAATAGGGGAAGGGCATGGTGTGGGCTGGAAATGGCCAGGTAAATCGCCTGGTGGAAGTATGTGTAAGTCCTATCCTGGCCCCAGGAGACCCTTGCCCCCTCCCCAAAGCTGTCTCTGCTACTCCTTCTGATAAATCTATTCTAAGGTGACGTGCAGCCACATGACAGCTGACAGGATAATCTGCAAAGGGGACACAGTGGCTGAAGCAGCCTTTGAACCTGACGTGGCTCTTGTGACACCTGGCCTCCCCAGACAGGCACAGGTATGGGTGTAGGAAGCGGTAAGGCTACTGGAGTCTCGGGGAAAGGAGAGAGTGCAGAACTCTGAGCCCATGCTAGGCCCTTCTCCACAGTGAGAAATCCCAGAGTCACCTAGACCTGGAGCACCTTGCCTGTTCTCTCCCTCTGGGCCCTAGAACTCCCCCCCCCCAAAGCACTAGACATGTGTTCAGGGCAGAGATAATCATCAGCCCAGAGACTTTCCTCACAAGTGGTCCAGCGAATTCTTTCCCGGGGTCCCTTTGGGCCTATGACTAAGAGAATAGAAGTAAAGCCATCTAGGCCTCTGGCTGCCCAGAACCTCCCTTGGATCAGGGAGAAAGGGATGGCATCTGTAAAGTCCGAGTCAAGTAAGGGAGCCAGCACTGGTGAGTGACGGATGGATACGCCAGGTCCCCACAGCACCCACGCCCCTCACACCAACAGTAAAGCTCCTTGCCCCACAGGTGGGAACACAGGCTCAGAAAGCTGAGCACAGCACAGGCAAGTGGCAGGGCTGAGATTTGAATGCCAGATAGCATCACTCCATCATGCCAGTCTGTCCTCAGTACGTGCCCCTGGGGTACCAGATAGCATCACTCCATCATGCCAGTCTGCACTCAGTACATGCCCCTGGGGTACCAGATAGCATTACTCCACCATGCCAGTCAGTCCTCAGTACATGCCCCTGGGGTACCAGAGTCTGGGTGGCTTAGGGGATAGTGAGAGGAAGTTCCCTCACACATGGACTATGATGAGTTCCAAATCTCCCAATTCCCCAGCAGCTAAGAAAAGAATGGAAACTGACCCCATACACACACACACACACACACACACACACACAGAGAGAGAGAGAGAGGGGGGGGGGGCTGTGAGAATCACCGAAAGGACAGCATTCTTGCCAGGCTCTGAATGCATTTTTGAAATTGCAAAGAGAAAGAAGAGAAAGAGGGTAGGTCAGCATCAGATTGGAAGCTGGGAGTAGGGGCTCACTGGGTGCTTCAGGCTCTCTCTGTTCTTTGTAGAGATTCTCAAGCTGCAGGAAGAATAGGCTGTCCCAGAGGGAATACATCAGACTCCTGTAGAAGAGAGGAATACAGGAGAGAAATGGAATACAGGAGAGAGATGGGCTGTGGTTCTGGACTCATACAGTTTCTGCCACTCTTACAAAGAACCTGAGGCAGGTAACTTTGCAAATAAAGGGGGTTTATCGCCAGATGTGGTGGGATACATCTGGAATCCCAGCACTAGGGAGGTTGAGGCAGGAAAGAGAGAGATGGTCAAAGGAAAAAACAGGAGAGAAAAAGAGGAGTTTTCTTTGGCTCACTTATAGCTTGTTTTGCTTAAAGTTGACCCTTGAAGCCCCTCCCCTTGTCTATCACATTATGGAGAATGACAAGGGCAGATGTCTCCAGGGATTTAAAAGCTTTCCTGCCAGGTCCTACCTCTTAAAGGTTCCTTGCCACCTTTCACCACCTCCCAACACTGTCACCTTGGGGACCAAGTCTCCAACATTGGAACTCTTGGGGGACAGACTCAGACCACATCCAGGCACAGCAGTTGAGGAATGGTCCTCCGTGAATGAAGGTGATGGGGAGGCATGCTCCAAGGGCTCACTGTTGTGAAAATGCCACTCCAAAATGGTACGGCTCATGAGAACACAGTGGAAGGACCTCCATCTCCTGGGGTTTCGTTGCACTGTCATGGCAGAATCAAGGATGTAGGTTGGACCGTGTGATCAAAACAGGCCTTTGTGGCACGGTAGGGAGCTTGAGAATCCTAGAGTTGCGTCTGAGGACCCTCCCAGGTTAGCAGAACCCACTGATTCACCTACGCAGAATGGTAGTTAGGCAACCAGAGAATCGTGGGAGAAACAGTTTACATTTCACGTTAAACAAAAATAAAACTGTGAGCTAATTTGCCAGCTCCTACTATAAGCAAGGCCTGGTCAGTTGTCTTTCTTATACAAACTAACTATAATTCACTCTCTATTTTGTTTTTTACAAGGAGAAAACGTACGGCTTGTTATTGCAAAAGTGCTAGGTGCGTGTGTGGTCGGGGTGCACTGGCCTGTGCGTGCCTGGGTGGCAGTCAGAAGTCAATGTCAGTGTCTTCCTTTATTGTTCCCCACTTTATTTCCGAGACATCCTCCTTACTGAATCTGTAACCCAACCTTCAGCT